TCATGCGTAACCCATCTCTAGCTAAGGGGTTAAATTGAAGGTCACATGAATACGGATTGAATGAGTTCAAATTATTCACTTGCAAGTGAATAATTCTACAGCGATGTTTCTTAGCTTATTTTGACAAAATTGAACCAAGCTGGCTTCTTAAAGTGAATTATTATTTCACTATTTTACTTTCATTAATGATTGAACAAAAACAAACTCATATTTTATTTTTTGTGCTATCTCGTAGCTAATGCCCATTTAAGTCCTAATATTTAGCTAACAAAAATATATGATGAAATGATAAGTTAATGAAAATTAAATAACTTGGAGTTATAGACCGCATGAGCGAGGGAAAGCAATATCATTATCATCAAGATTGAGAAAATTTACAATAGGCAAAATTGTACTTGAAAAAAAGAGGCGGAAGATACCAACGGATATCATTAGTGGAAGACAAAATGACAACGCCATGTCAAAAGTCGAAAACGTCGAAAACACGAACAAGTTTACAAAACACTTCACAGAAAACTAAGATTGAGCACAAAATAAAAAACACCTTTAAACCCCTGGGGCGATCTAAGGGGCACAAGAAGGATAAGCAGTTATAGCTTTTAGTATAAGTAAGGAAACAAGGATTTCCTTTTAATTTTTGTTTATATCTTAGACCGAACGGGACAACGTTTTTTTTACTATTTTGACTCGTTACGTTACTTATTTTGACAAATTATCGGCGAATACCACAGTACAGTACGATAGATGTCTTGGTGTCGTATTTAAACAGTAGAAGCACATTTTTTAATGCTGTATGCGTGTATGCTTTTGTTGGTCTGGATGTCTGTTTCGATTACGTTTGTTTGCAATGTGTGTTGTCCTCGTGATTTATCCTTTAAAATGATTTATTGATCTGTATTTTTGAACTGTTGTAATAGGTTATTGTAACCGTTGTATAATAGATCTGTGATAATTACCTATCCCCGAGGTGTTGTTAGACCAATTGGTTGAATATTTGCCGTTTTCACTAGATTGATATAATTGATACACCGACTGATATTTTCAGTATTTACGGAAACGAACATTATATGCCATACACTGACAATATATTTTTTTGATCAGAGTGAAAGGTACAAGATCTGTTTAAGTTTCAAGGCATTCTAAACATTAAAGTGATAATGCATATTTAAACAAATTATTCATATTAAACCTAACAAAGCTAAGAAACAACACATTATTATATTTTATCCTGTGGTTTTGATATTTCATATCTATCAGAAAATACTCAAGTTTCTGAGATCAACACATATTGTCGATATGACATTTACTTTTTTTTTATACTTACTGAGATTACCACTGATTGTCTGATTGACATTAATTATTTGACAGTGCCAGTACTAATAACCTCATATCATTGATTTTACCTACATTTGTCGTCGTCATTTGAAGAAAAAACTAGATGTGTTGGAACGACACGAATGGCCCTACTCGCAAAGTAAGCTTGAAGCCATTTTTAGGAGTGGAAATTTGAGAATGAAAGTTCGTATAACTGTTTTTTTTTCACGAAATTTTCAATTCCAAAGCCCGTTATTTAATGAAAACTTCATGGAGCAGAAGCAAACGTAAACTCGATCTGTAACTCATCATAATAAACTCACATACTAAAATTCAGCTCAATATGTGAAGGCGTTTAGAAAAAAAGTCCGTATGACTATTCGTTGCAGAATGACAGATTGACGGAATGACAGAATGACGGAATGACGGAATGACGGAATGGCGGAAAAGGGTGAAACTATATGGCCCCGACCACTTTGTGGAGAAGCCACAAAAATGTATTTAACCTTAATGTAAAACGACACAAGGATAAACATCCATGGAACATACACTTTAATAAAAAAGTTAACAAAATCGAAAGAGCACGACACGGTCTTCAACAAACTAAAACAGACCTCCTAGAGGTCAGAGTAAAAATCTTAAAACAAGATGAACATCATCTGGAGTTCCTGCCAGGGTGTCAAACGAAAAAAGTTAGACATCTAAAGATCATGGAATGGACCAGAATAAACATCTGGAGGTCACTATACGATCTCCAAAGAATGAAAATAAAAACATCTGGCATCTAACTAGTCACAACACACATTTTATAGGTCAGAACAACGATAAACACCACCAACTCCGTATGACAAATTCCAAACAGCCCTTTGTCTAGACATAGGTTTTTTTTAAAATTAGCAAAGAGGGTAAAACATTGATAACAACAACAAATTCGCAATAGTAAAAAAATCATGATGATTTCCCCAAAACCACTTACAATTTCCAAAACAGTGGCAAATTAAAGAAATGACAGACAAAAACATTTTATAATTATCTCAATTTGCAGGTAATCAATACAATATTAAAAAAGCGACACAAAGTTCAAACAAAGGTAAACATTAATATATCTATTACAAACATTATATACTAACTCAAAACAGCACTAAAAATTACCATTATCAAAGATTATACATAGTTGTTAAGAAAATATCCAATGCTTAATTTTAGACAAAAAACCAAAATTGTAAAACGTTTTCGAGTTGAAAAAAAATATATAGGACAAAAACAAGTAAAAAATATATAGGACCAGAACAAGTAAAAAATATATAGGACCAAAACAAGTAAAAAATATATAGGACAAAAACAAGTAAAAAATATATAGGACAAAAACAAGTAAAAAATATATAGGACCAGAACAAGTAAAAAATATATAGGACAAAAACAAGTAAAAAATATATAGGACCAGAACAAGTATCTTTTTTTTTATTTAAGGAATAACTGTAATATTTTTTCTGTCTATGAAGAAATAACACCAAAAATGTGATGCACACTGAATTACTCGCGTAGCGGGTTATTTCAAAGTGTGCATCACATTTTTTATGTTATTTCGAATAGACAGATAAAATATTACAGTTATTTCTTTTAATTTAATTCTCATTTCCATTTTAAACCGAAGTAAACAATAAAAAAATGTTGATGACGTCACGGTCACATGACTAAATTATGTCTATGAGCTGATAAACAAAACAACGTCAGCCAATCAGCAGACGCGTTACATCCAAAATTAAATTATTTTGAAACAACGACTCGTAATACTTTGATATCGAACACCATACTGTTAATGTTAAAAAAAATGTAGAGAAAAACATGAGGCAGTGCAAAAATTAAAAACTTAAATAATATAAAAACGATATCTACTCCAAAAAATACCATACTTAATAATTGACAATAGTTTGACTGTAACCTTTAGCAGTAAGGTTTTTTAAGTAGATATATAGAAATCCCATGAGAGTAACTGTTATACTTAATAGCTTTAGTTTTAGAACAATTACATAATGTGACATACTTTTAGGACATATCTTCAAAATAGGTAAAAAGAGAGCTAAATGTGAATGTAAAGCTTGATTCCACCTGTTTGTGTGTAGCCATCTCTATGTCAGACTATCTGAATCATGTGTTGTTCGATGTTTTATTTTTTTGCTCTTCATTTGTACGTCTTTTTATCTTAAAGGACTCGGTCGTTGGTCGTAGAAATTAAGTACTGTATAATATTTTTGAAATTCTTATTTTCCGCTTTATGTATTATTGAAATATTCAGACAAAAGGCATTGTTTGAATCATTGATTAAATAATGGAATTAGTTGTCTAAAACAGAAAGATCATTAAAATTTATATAAATCATTTGAAATAATATAAGCATAGTTGACAAAAGATTTACTCGGTAATTTATTCTATCACATTAGCAGCTAACAATACCCTTAAACCATTAAATTGTATAACAATCATATGTCAATACTTATGGAAAATTGACAGGTTAAAGTTATCACATTCAAACTGTATTTCAGTTCTTACTTTGATATTTGATCTGAATATCACCTGTCTATTTCATCGTAGTTGGCTCAAATTAGCAGAGATTTTTACATGATTAAAAGACTAGTTAATAATGTATCCGAATAAACCATACCAAATAAATTTGAAAATTCGATACATTAACGGTATTCATTTATTGTACAAAAAGACATTTCAAAGCAATAAGACATTCTATTTGAAAAAATTAAAATGTATCAGATATTCAACATAAATGACATTTGAAAAAAGACACCTGGTATTATACATTTTATCGTCATCGATATTAATGAAATATTTACCACTGGACGTTATGCAAAATTCATTTCGATCAATCAAATACTTATATTTTATATGACCAGATATTTTGATTTTTTGAAAGTAAAACCTATAGTATGTTATGAAATTGTTTTCTCTTCGTTATTCTTAGTTGTTCTTGAAAGAGGAAGATAAGCAGATATTTACAGAATAAAATAATTAACATTTTACTATTCTACTAATCTACTGTTCATTTTCTCCAACCATGTCTTTTCTAAAACAGACATATCAAATACGAACTTATCATAATATAAACTGTAGTAGCAGAAGGTTCATAATATGCAATTTACATATTGTAATGTTTTAGAGTTTAATAGGATAACTATAATAATGTTGTAACATGTTTCTAAAAGTAAGCTGGGCAATAAGGAATTATGTGATTTTTAATAGAAATTTCAGTCCGATTTGGATGTAAAAGAGTAGTTAAACCTGTATCAATCTCTGATTTCTATCTTGTCATCATTTTTTAAAAAGATGTTATGCTTACATAAAGCTTTTCCTAAACTATATTTATTTTATCATTCCAAAACTCCAGACAAAGTACCTATTGTAAAAAATAAAAGTATATAACATATTCTGTTTTCACAATCGCCATGAAATATACAAAAATAAAGGTATAATTTCACGCTTCTGAGTCAAAGTAATACAATTAACCTGTATACGAAAAATATTTAAGAAATGATAAAAAATATATATATAAACAAACAGAAGCGATAAAAATGCAAATCTGCAATGGTTCGCATTGCTTTTTATCTGACGTTGTTACATTAGAAAACATATTGTATAATGATAAAAGATAAATATTGAATCCACCAAACAAATATCGTGCAAAAAAGTCGCAATTATTTATAAAATTCAGATAGTTTTGGTGGGATTAGGTTAGATTTGTTAGCTTTTATTATCTCCTCATTGAAATAAAAGAAAAAAAAGATAGAAAAAATGAAAAAAAAAGGCCTGGGTAATATATAAAAAGATAAGATTATTTCACGAATGTGACAGTAACTCGTCGTAAATAAAATCGAGATTTTCCGTTTGTTGGAAAGACCATAGATATATATCTATGTAGCAAATGATAAGTCCTTTCAGGACGATTCTATTTCAATTTAGTTGGAAGGATAATTTTCATTGTACGTTGACAAATATTTTGAAAGGTTAGATTCCACGTTCTACCAGTCCGTAACTAAGGAGAGCCACCATTTTGAATTCCGATTTTTTTTTGTGGTATGTGATTTCTTAAAAAAAATAAGCAAAACGGTCACATTTTGTGCCTTAAAAAACCTTTTTTTTGTCAATATTCAAACCATTCAGAAGCGTACAAAAAGTATATACTCGTCTTTTGCTTTTGTTTGACATCGGGAGTATAACTATGACTTTAAATTGTTTTGATGCAAAAAATGATGTGAAATTTTGCTGACTTTTTCATTTATTAGATTTAAGAAGATGTGGTATGAGTACCAATAAGACAACTCTCCATCCAAGTCAAAATTTATAAAAGTAAACCAGTATTGCATTTTTAAGCCAAAATATTTACTGAAATGGAATTTATTTTGATATTTCTCATTATTATTGAAATAGTTGTATTGTAAGTTAAGCTTGGCTTTCGTAAAACTTGATTTTACTATCGCAAATATCCGTTTACCAAGTTCCGATAGGCATCGCTAGGTTAAACACAATTTGCGACAGTAAAATCAACGTTTTACGAAGGGTCAAGCTTCAAACACATTACATTTGTCCTAAATCGATATTAATGGAATCAAACCAGGATAGTTATATATCCAACATAACAGAGAGCAATAATCGCACGATTGATAACATACATCTTTTCCTTGTAAAAAGTCAAATTAAAAGTTGGCGATGAGGGACAAAAAGTATAACAAAAATACCGAACTCCAAGGTTAATTCAAAAAGGGGAAGTCCATAAAAACTAACAAAATCTAACGTTATCAACCAACGGAACAGTGAAAAACAACTGTCATATTCCTGACATGAAACAGGCATTTTCCGAAGAAAATGGTAGGTTAAACCTGGTTTTATAGCTAGCTTAATCTCCCACGTGTATGACAGTTGTTTACTGTTCCGTTATATCGACAAAATTGGGAGATCAACCCAGATATAATATACAATAAAAATATGAACACGATTTACTTTTGATTATGATTATATAAAACGCCATTAAAATATATTTAACAAAAGTCATGATTGTCGCAAAACAAAGTTCTATTAGGTTTTTCACAATTATGCTGACGTATGAAAAACTTGCACGTGTGTCATATGTGGTTCTTCCCTGTTGCTTTGAATTGCTGTAAGATGGTTCATTCTAGTGATACTATCATTACGAACTGTTACTGTTTCATTATTTTTTCTCCGAAACATGTCTTTGAACTCACGCCTAAATCTACTTCCACTCAAAATGTACAAAAGGAAATTGATGCTGTTATTAAGATACATAAGAACATTAACAATAGCCCACACCATGTCTAGGACGGCATAACCTCTTCCTACTAATTCTTTCTCCCATTTCGAATAGCCAATCAAATAGACGCTTATTGGCGTGGTACACAATAGAAAAACCGTGTTAAGGGTGAACAGTATGACACTCATCGACGATAATTTCGAATCCCTCTGTTGAGCCTTTGATCCAGGCGTTTGCGAAGAAGGAGCAATCCGACGCTTAACAGCTCTTTGTGAAGACAATACTTTGACAAATATAAGAAGATTTCCTGTCAATAAGCAACAGAATGGTATGCCACAGAATAAGGATAGATCAATCCATGGCCATGATGCGCTCCAAAACTGATTGTACTCATCGGAAATATAGTAACATTTTTCAACCGAAACTGTGCCATTAACCATTGATTCCTTATCTACATGACCATAAAGAATGTGACTGTTGATCAACAATAAAAAAGCTGCAATGGCAATCAAACTTATTCCAGCTTTTCGCTTGGTGCATTCTATTTTGGCTTTTTGTGGGAACCAAACAAGAAAAACACGTTCCACCGTGACAGCCATCAGGATCCATGATGAAAAATCCAGAGAGAAATAAACGATGTATGTATGCAGTTTACAAATACCAGTTCCCAACTCACGTATGTCAACTTCAAACACTACATTAATCCACTGTCGTAAAAGTCCGGTATATAAAACTGAAAGATCAGAAACTGCTAGAACTATCAGATATATACTACATACCGACTTTTGAATGTTTTTCCTCCGCAGTACTATAATTGATAAAATGTTACCAGTTGTCCCGAGTATAATAAGAATTGGCGGAAGAATTTTCCAAATATAAACACCAGTTTTGTATTCTGGATAATTTGTGTAGTCTAAATAATCACTCGAATTCATACTTTTGTTAAACCGTCTTTACATGTAGTTAGACTTATATCTAGTTGAATGTTATAATTGTCCATAGAAATCCTTGATTTTTTTCTCATAGCATGTTGTATTTCTTCAGCGAACTGTTTCTTTTCAACGTTTATCACTATTTATAAGGAATATATGACAAAAAATTGTTTACAATTTTATTCAATTAACGTGATTTTCATTGTATATTTCCATGGCTTCTGTTTACAACCACGTGTATGTGTTGATCATTTGCGATATACCCGTAGTTCTTTCTCGTTGGATATACGATATGTTTGTTACGTTATAAATCATCCAGGTAAATAGCTAATCCTAGAGACTTAATGAAGGAAAAACAACATCAGATTCAGGTGTTCATTGTCATTCGTTTAAAAAAATCAGAGTTAAATGAACTGTTAAAACTTCTGCCCTCATTTGCTTTCAATAAAATGGTAAAAGTTTCTAATATTTATTTCACGAATACTTTTAAATTGTGTATATGGATGCAAGTAAAGCAATAGATCACTAAAGATATTTCTATCTTTACTCATATTATTGACTATGACAAACTGATGACAAGGTTTGTAAAACATGTACATGAATATAATAAGAATAAACAATAAAACAGCTGTTGAAGAATGTATAATACTTTTATACATGTGTCATTATCGGATCAATAAAACAAAGAAATCATCTGAAAAATATGAATTTTCATTCTTATTTTTTAGATTGATTATAGACAAATCTTCGAAATGATTTGTCCGCATACTTTGCAATATTTGAAAATAAATCCAATCTTTTTTGTAGTGAATTATTACTCACTATCGTTATAACGATTGACAAATTCATGAAAGCATCTGTAAACATTTGTGTATGAAAATAACACTTATATGATTTCGTGCGTTCGAAGGACTTTACTGGATTAACCTTCATCAGGAATGCTTAAAATCCAAAAATGTAAAAGCCAAGGATGTATATGATCTGAAAAAGTAAGGAGCTTTATGACCAAACGGGGCCTCAAAGGAATAGTACTAGTAGTTATGATACTTGTTAACCTGAATACAACTATGAGTGATAAGTTTATATGTTTATGTTATTCCAATGAAGTCTCAGTAACGACCACAACTTAAGTATACGAGAAGCGGAACGAATAGGATACTTGTATGTCTACATCACTCACAATCAATGCAAATAAAAAAGCAGTTTTTCAAAAGAAAAAAAACCCAAAATAATGATATTTGAGTAAAATTTGTAGGGAGTAGAACATATAAAAATTTAGTATCTGATTTTAATATTTAATAATCTTGTATGGCACTAATGTAAAATACGTCAACAGCATTGACTGCTAGGTCACCTGGTTCAAACACAGATTTCTTCCATACGTTTTTAGAGTTTTTTTAGTCTTCATAACTTTTAAGAAGAATGGTTTTGTACATCCTTGGCTTTCAAATATTCGGCTTTGAGCTTTCCTGATGAATGTAAATAAAGAAAAGCGCTTTGAACGCATAAAATTTATAACGTGTTGTTTTCATTTTTGACAGCACTGGGTCGAAACCTCTGCTGGTGGACTATCAGTCCCCGAGGGTCTCATCAGCCCAGTAGTCAGTACTTCGGTACGGACATGATTTATAACAAACCTTTCTAAAATTGTCCGTTATTGAATTTCGAAATTATTAGAAACTAAGGTTTCAACTCCCTAAGGCAAAGTTGACTTCAGATTGATTTGGCTTTATTTTATATTTCTTCTGTGGCAAAATCTACATGATGATTAAAACAAGCTGATGTTGACACTCTTCACGTTCAGTTGTAGAAGGTGGAGGATATCTAGGTTTGCTTTAATAAAAAAAACATAACGTCTCGATTTTGGACAAATTTGATTCCCAACCTCATATGTTGGCTACTGATTTAATTAAGGATAGTTTTGTTTGTTTTAAATATTTAATCATAAAGGGATTGAAGTTCGATAAAAGAAATATATATAAGTTTTATGAATGTAAATAGAAAAGGAATTCAATTGAATTAAATCTTGGTGGCATTGTTTTTTAACATTGTAATTATTGAATATTACTAGTAAATTGATAAAATCAAAGTATGAAAGTACCACGTTCATGACATTTATACAGATGTTGTAGATATACTCTTTCTGCTCCATTATTTTATGTTATTTATACGATGTATTATAGTTTGGAGGGGTTTTTTTTCTTTACCATAGACTTTTTATGTGTAAATGTTTGTTTGGGGCAGAATTCAAACTCTTTATCAATCATTCATATCTCGTATTTTACTCTTTTTGCCATTTTTTTTACATGAGGCACAAATTGTTGTTGATCGGCAATTTATACTGTTCCTTTATACTGATTTCATTCATTTTGTAATGAAAAATTTACGTAAGAACAAATATTACTCCAAAAAGGAGACAAAAATCCCACACCAAATAGACAAAACATATAAAACTGTAAACAGAACACCTAAACATTATAGAGCGATTTAAATCTCAGGAGCTCATGAAAACTAGAAAGTTCCTCTTCTACACGATTATAACTAATTAAAACTATTCTTTCACTTATCAGTAGTCCCTGTGTCTGTATCAGTCCGCGCACGACATCTTCAAAATGTAAATCATGGCTTGGGGATGTCAAATATAATTGATAACTTTGACCCGGACCAATAATTGACGTCATAATGGTTGACCCGACTTTAATAAATTATGTACCGGTTTGTTGATGAAGTTAAATTATTATATTCATGATAAAGTAACATTACAAGCCGATTAATCGATTATCAGATTTTCATCATATTGATATAGTAAAATATCAGCAGCTCGACGGTAAATGAAGGCTTTTTAAGCTTGTTCGCTGTGCTCATATTTGACATTATCAATATTAAAAAAGCTGATAATCGTTGCATTTAACAGCTACATTTTTTAAAAATTTAGTATCATTACAGAGTGAGTCTGTGTAAATACATTAAAATGTTAACTTACTGATTATGGTAAATAATAAGGCGAAGAACGACACGATTTCATTCAGCAGGTGCAATACTACAAGCTTTCTTTCTGTAACTACGAGAATTTTTGTTACATAGTAAACCGGTAAAATAGAGTTACGTGCTTTTCATGTACTGTTCTTTTTTTTAAAGACTGAGAATAAATTTAATAATCTTAAACGTTTTAAAAGATCATTTCATATATTTCGTGCGGCCGAAGCGCTTATATGTATTTACCTTCATAAATAACGCTAAAAGTTAACGTAATGCGAATCCTGTAAACGTATTTTTCGTTCTCGATTTCACCTTTACTTTTCCATCCTTAAACAGTATACATGTATATAAATCGTGTGTGTGTATAACGTGATCAAATAATCGTAACCTGGGCATGAAGAATTTATTGTTATATTGATCTTATAGATTTTGGATTAGAATCAAAAGATAAGTTATTGTATTTGAATATTTTATCAGAAAATAATTTTTTTTTTATCTTTCATCATGTTTCAAAAGTATTGTGTTGTAAAACAAGTAATTTAACATTGCCATAAAAGTGCGAGGTTTGGCTAGCCACAAAACCAGGTTCAACCCACCATTTTTTTTTTTAAATGTCCTGTACCAAGTCAGGAAAATGGCAGTTGTTATCTTAAAGTTCCTTTCTGTGTGTGTTACATTGTCGTTTGTTTTTTGTTCACTTCAGTGTTTCTGTTGTTTCGTTGTTTTCCTCTTATAGCTGATGTGTTTCCCTCGGTTTTAGTTTGTAACCCGGATTTGTTTTTGTCTCAATCGATTTATGACTTTCGAACAGCGGTATACTACTGTTGCCTGTATTTAAAGAGTAAAACTACAAAAATACTGAACTCCGAGGAAAAATTCAAAAAGGAAAGTCCCTAATCAAATGGCAAAATCAAAAGCTCAAACACATCAAACGAATGGATAACAACTGTCATATTCCTGACTTGGTACAGGCATTTTCTTATGTAGAAAATGGTGGATTGAACCTGGTTTTTAAATGGCACTCTTACAGATTCAAAAGCGTCAAGTGTTATTTGTAAATATGTTGTATTTCTTTTGAGATTAATTATTCAAATACTTTATATAGGTTGTGTTATATGTATACTATGTACTATGATATCTCTCAATGAATTTAGTATAGTTTTGTAAAAAAAAACAAGATAATTTTGAAATGTGCGAATCAGATTACTTTTAGTTTCTTTCACGTATCTTTTAACTTCAAAGTATAATTCAAAATATTGTATGTTTGCTTATTTTCTTCTTCGTTCTAATACGTAATACCATAAAAGGTATCAATTTTACTGCATCAGATGCGCATTTCAATAATTAATGTCTCTTCAGTGGTGTTCGAGGCCAAAACACTTAACAATTCAAAACCTCATTCAAACGTTGATGATAAAAAGCGATTTGTTAATTGAGAAACTTGTCAAAGCAATGATAAGATTTCTGTCATTATTATCTCGGTCTTAAACCTTATATCCAAAGATATATAAATGGATATGTTCTTTAAAAAATTAATGGTTTTCATTTTCATTCTATTTGATAATTCATCCAGAAGGTTTTTTTTTCACAAATTCGAAATCGATGATAAATAATTTGCATTTATACAAAGCACACTTGGGGGTTCTTGATAATTATCATGTAAAAAAGATTTTGGAAATATATAACATAACAATTTCAAGTTACACAGTTACGTGCGGTGCAGTCCGGTGTATCTGCGATGATTGATTGATTGTTGGTTGCTTTACGTCCAGTGGTAAATTTTTCATGCATGTTCAGGAACAGTTTAGGCTCCACTTTGGTAAAATCATAAAACCAATAATCGGTTAATACTGTGTGGTCAAATTCATGACATACATTATGTGTAATATGTGTCCAAAATTAGGGAAACCCCTGTTTTGACAGTTCTTCAAAATGTCCGGTGATTTCACGCATGCCTTCTGAAAATAGTGAATTTTGAATAAAGGAAAGATTTTATACTACGAAATAAAGTTCAGTAACAGACT